GGCTGCTGCTACCCCCTTTGGTTGAGACAGGCTCCCTGCCTCGTGACTGTGCACACCAGGCTAGCTGGCCGCAAGTGTCTGGGGATCCCCTCCACCCCACCTCCTACGTTACTGCAGGAGTGCCGGACTGGGAACCTGTACAGTCCACGTCCCCGTGCTGATGTGCTACCCACTGCACCATCCCAGCCCCCCAGCCCAGCATGTCAGCATGTCAGCTCAGCCATGTCAGCCATGTCAGCCCAGCATGTCACCTACCCCAGCCACCTAGCTCTTCTTGTTTACCACATATGATAGGTAGGCTTAACAATTTCATTTATACTCTCAATTTTTAATCTCTTATCCACCTGATGTTTTACCAAAACCAAAACAAAAAAACTTGCCAATCTCAATTTGAGGAAATGAAGTTTTCTGGGTTTTCCTCCGCAGCTGGGGACGAGGAGACAGGCTCACCGGGCTGCTGGCTGGCTGCTCAGAGGCTTCCCATCTCTGAGGCTTCCCCGCTCCCCACACCCCTTTCGCCCTTGACCCCCACGTCTTTCCTGTTAGCTGGTGACCATGGCCTCCCCTTGAGACCTCCTTCTTTGCCCTCATGTTCCTAAGGCTTCTTGGAAGCGCATCTCCCCCGGCTGAGCTTTCAGTCTGTTCTCCTTGACCTGCATCCTCCCTCTCCTTACATTTCCAGTGTCATTTTACGTATCTTCCCTTCGCTGAGCAAACACAATAACTTGCAGATTCCTCCCTGGAACCTTCCCGCTCTGCTCCGTGTGATGTTTCCGAATACGAGGCCCCTTGGCTAACAGAACTAGTAAGATCTTCCCGGCTCAGGAGAGAGGACTCCTGTCCTGTCCTCCCCCTGCGCCCCGTGCCCCGCGCCTCACCTCCCACCCACTCAACGTGAAACACCTTCTCCCTTCTAATAAAACAAAACTGTCTCTCTCAAAATGCGTGATCGCCTAGTTAGTGAACCTAGAGGGTCCTTCCAGGTCTCGCCTTTCTGTGAGCTCAAGCCAGGCTGCGCCATCCCACCTCGCTCCTACAGCTCTGGCTGCCCCCGCCGGCCCCTCCTCTTTGATGGAGTTTTGAGAGCTTTTCTGGGCCACTCCACCTTTTCCACTCAAAGGTTTACCTCTAGGAGAAAAAAAGACAAAAGACGCTCAAGCTCCGCTCCCGGGGAGGTGGCAGCCTGCTGTGACATAGCTCCCGGGATGCTGCCCTGAGCTTCAGCACGCTTCCGCTTCCACACATCTGCAGCTTGGCTCCTGTGGTTCTTGTCTCACTGGGCCCAGCTCTGTGACAGTGGCCTTCGTGTTTACTCATCCTGTGCCTTGTCTTTCCCCACAGCCATGGCCACCACCATCCACCCACCCCTCAGGCAGCTGAAACTGGGGCCGATCGATCTAAGACCTTCCCGCAGAAACCATTTGCCATACCCTCATGTCCCTGTAACATTTACAGAAGATCCCTTTTCCTGTGCTGCTGCTCTCTCTGTGGGTGTGTATACGCGGGAGCGGGACGTGTGTATGCTCGTGTGTGTGGGTGCACGTGTGTGTAGAAGCTGAGCCGTCCACTATCCCCCCCACTCCCCACCCAAGACACAAGGTCTCTCTGTGTAGCCCTGGCTGTCCTGGAACTCACTCTGTAGACCAGGCTGGCCTCCAACTAAGAGATCCTCCTGCCTCTGCCTCAGAGTGCTGGGATTAAAAGCCTATGCCACTGCTGCCTGGCTAGAAAATGTTTAATTACATTTTTATTTGTTGCGTGCAGGAGTGCCACGGGGCACATGTGGAGGCGGAGGACAACCTGTGGGGATCACTTCTCTTCTTCTTGGGTAGAACTGAGGTTTTCAGGCTTGGTCAACAGCACTCTCTCCTCGCCCAGTCCACCATCTTGTTTATTGCTGACACAGGCTCTCTTGCTGGGACCTGGGACTCTTTGGCTGCGAGGTTGCCTGGCCAGTGAGCTCCCGGGATCCTCCTGCCTGCCCACCTCCCTGGGGCAGAGACAACAGGTACTACAGCCTTTCATGTAGGTGTCGAGGACCACACTTGGGGCCTCAGGTTTGCAAGGCAGGCACTTCATGGACGGAACTGTCCCCACACCCGTCCCTGTCCCCTCGTGAGTGCCACCGCCTGTGCTGGACTGAAGCAGGAAGTCCGAGGGCTGGGGTCAGAGGTCAGCATTCATTTCACTACGTCTGGGCTCCGCAGGGCAGAGTTTTAAGGAGCGGGGTCCACACCCATGTCCTGGAGGGATGCTGACAATGTGGGGCTGAAGGCTGTGACCTCTGCCCCTCATTAGGGCCACAGTTCATGCTGTCACAGACGCGTTAGTAAGAGCACGACAAAGTACGGCTACCACAGGAGTCTTCAGGTCGAAGCCCCAGCTGGGTGTCAGTTTTCAGGGTTAGGCTTGACCCAGGAGGGCAGCTGTGTAGAGTTGTGACTGGCCAGGCCCACCCACTGTCAGGGCCTTTCTAAGACACTCCTTCCTCCCAAGACCTCTGCAGAGGTGTCTACGACCTAAGTCGGACAACTCAGTTCAAAGAACTTTTTTATGGACAGTTCTTACATGGAGAATTGGAGGGACAGAGAACCTGTTTGCTTTGGCCTGAGACAGGTTTCTGGCTGTCCTGGACTTCCTTTGTAGACCAGGCTGGCCTTGAACTGAGATCTGCCCGTCTGCCTCTGGGGCCAAAGGTGTGCACCACCACGCCTGGCTAAGTTTGTTAACTTTCATGGTTGGTGCTGCAAACCAACACCGTTTGGTGGGACCCAAACGGGTGAGAGTCACAGCACATGAGGGCCCCGGGGCACAGAGGAGGGCTGAGGCTGGAGCCTTGCTTCTGAGTCCCTTCAGTTCCAGGCCCTCAGCTGGCCACTGCACCCTCTCGAAGCCCCCAGCAGGATTACAGTGATGGGAAGGAGGAGGCTGACACAGGGAAGATTGGGCCTGGGCCTGCAGCACCCTCTCCTTCCTACTTCACACAGCTGCCCCGGGGTCAGCAGCACAGGACAAACCCCAGTCCTCTGACCCAGCCTTCCTTGCACAGGCCCTTCCCTAACTGTGCTTCTGTGCCTCAAGATGCTCAGCACACACCAGTTCACACCAGCTCACACCAGCTCACACTGTGTTCTGGCTCCTGAGCCTCAGCCTCCACAGTGCACTCGGGCACTTTTACCGTTCTTGCCCTCTGGGGAGCGTCCTGCCTGGATCCCGGGGGCCCTACTGTTGAGGCAGCTCTTCATGCTTCAGCCCCTGAAGGGCAAATGGGTATGTCTCCTGAGGCAGGGTTTGAACGCTTTGGTTCCATGATACTCAGCTGAGCTGTGTCAAAGAGAACCCAGACCCCTTTTCTAACTGATTGGGAACCCATCCCCACAGACATTCAGTCTATTTCCTAACCTTGTTTCTCAAACAGCCTCAAAGCACCCCACCTGAGACTGAACTCCTGGGCCCAGCTTGAGGGAAGGACCCCAATTTCCACAGCCTACTGCTCCACGGTAGGCTCCAAGTGAACTCTTGGGGATCCCCGAGTCCCCTCCCCACCCCCACCACGGTGGACAGGATGCCCGCTGCCTGGTACCAGGGGGTCAGAGGAAGCCGGGGCCTCTGGGGCTCAGTATTTTTATCAGCCTAGGAAATGAGCGATGCAGAAGCGGAAGCTGTGTGGTCAGAGAGAGTGAGCAGCCCGTGTCTCAGGGGAAGCCCCTCCAGGCTGGGGGCCAGACGCCGGGGAGGGGCAGAGGGCGGCGGGAGCATATCACGGCCCCTCCCGCTCTGGTCATGTAATCCTTACAGAGGAGGAAGCCAGGGCTTCAGAACGAGAAATCTGGGAGTGGCGGTGTGGCCGCCAGCACTGCCCGCCACCCCAGCTCAAGGGTCCTGGCTCCGTCCAGGCTCTTTGCATGCTGCTTCCGAAATCCCCAGCCTGTGAGAGGAACCGGATGCCTGGGTTGCTCACAGCTCCAGGCCTCTTCCCCGAATCACAGCAGCTTCCTCTCATGGCTGGCCCCTCCCACGGCTCAGCATCTGCCCGGCCTTGGGCTGGGGGCGCCTCCTAACCTCCGTTTCTGCCCGGGTCTCAGGCCCCACCCCAGCCACCCGTGCTGGGTCCCCTGGAGTAGAGCTGGGCTGTAGCCCTCACCGTCTTCTCTGATCACACACAGTACACACCTGCACAATTCTTGCCTCTACTTTTGTGAAAAAACTAAGGCCCCAGTTGTGTCAGGTGTTGGCAGTGGATCTGCCTGCAATGGCTCCATTTCCAGAGAGCCGCCCAACAGTGGCGTGATGGGTTCCCTCCTCCGCCTTCCACTCTCAGCGCCTCGCTCCAAGCCCATCCCGGAAGAGATGTTTAAGTAGAAGGCCAAGCCTGGGGTGCCCAGAGCCGGGGTCCAGGTTTAGGGTTGGGCCGGTGGACAGCAGATGCCAGGAGCCCCCAAGAGACTGAGCAGTCCGAGAGGGAGCTGCGCGGGCCGGACAGGCTCGGGTGTGGATCTCCAGTTGCCCAAGATCAGACAACCCAGTTTACATAATCGGGCTCTTTCCGCTTCTAATTTTAGCAGCTGAAATTCCCGCCCCCACAGGTTCTTCCTCCATCCCCTGACTCTACCCTCCATCCTCCCAGGTCCTCGTGGTCCGCGGCCCTGGCTGCCCCCAACTCAGATCACTAAGTGACTCAGCACAGGGAAGCCCTGAGCTGGGCTGAGGATGTGGTTCTGCTTGAGGAACGTGGGGGAGGAAAATGGCTTGTTCCTTTTCTGTCACTTGCTCACATCTATCTTCAACAGAGACTGGTGTGGTCAGGACCCCAGTGGGGGAGCGTGGGGGTCTGGGGATGACCTGGGCCTTCAGAGGGGCGCCCTCACGGCAGGCCGGGCCGGGTCCCCACTGAGCCAGCGTCTGAGCACGTGCTGCAGGTGTGTGGGAGCTGCGGGTTTCGACAGCTGGGCGGGAAGGAGGTGTCATGGGTGATGAAAAGCATAGCAATGGAAAGAGACTGGAGTGAGGACCAGGTCTTATTAGGAAACGGCGGCGCGCAGCGCAGTGGCAGTGCCACCCCCCACCCCCGCACCCATTGCGTTGGCCGCCCATATCCTCTCTCCATCTCCATCCACGCTTCCTCCCGTCTGTCCTCCAGGCTGCATCCCCACAGGCCCCGCGCCTGCCCGAGGGTCACTTGAGGGCCTCTGCGCGGCGGTTCAGGGCCTGGGAGAGGGCTGTCACAGCTCCCATCACACGGCCCAGCTCCCGGGTCTCGATCTGGCTTCGGAACCGCTGCAGGAAGCGGTCGGGGTGCCAGCGGATCTGCTGGGCTCTCAAGTACCTCCTCAGAGCCCCCTGTTCCTCCAGAGGGGGGCCCCTGGCCACCAGGGCCGCAGCCATGGCCTCTGGGTCCCCTCCACCGGGGCAGGGCCAGGGCACGTCCCCGAAGCGCCAGAGGCTGCCCCTGCCCGGGCCTCGCATGTGCTCTGCCCGGGGCGCTGCCCTGGGAGGCCCCGGGCATCTGTCCGCCGAGGCCTCTCGGGCCCTCCTGGCGCGGCTCTCCCGCAGTTCCTCCTCCTTGGTGCGGGCTCGCTCCCGGAAGAGCCGCCGCTCCTCCTCTGGCTGTCGCCGGCTGTGGCTGGGGCCCTCAGCCCGTGGGGGTCGGCAGGGGCCCTGCAGCTGCTGCCGCCGCTTCTGCGCGTGCTCTCGGGCCAGGCGGTCGGACCAGGCCGAGAAGGACTCGGGCTCCTGCGTGTCGCGGGAGGCGTCATCTGTTGTTGGCGAGAGGCTGGGGTTAGAGGGCGGCCAAGAGAGACGGCGAAGCAGAGGCATCTGGCGAGGGCACCGCCGCGAGCCCCGCCGCGGACGGAGGGCGGCTCGCGGCTCCTCACCTTCGAACCTCCCGAGGACCTCCTGCCACTCGTCCTGCCACTCGCCCTGCAGCTTGCAACGCCATTCCCGCTCCCGGGAGAGCGCCTCGTCCTCCTCCTCGTCCTCGTCCTCGTCGGCGGAGTCCCAGGGGGGGCCCCAGCCCAGAATCTGCCCAGGGGTCTCCCCATCCTTGTTCTTTATCCCCATGGCGGAGGGGCAGCGGCTCAGCAGCGGCAGGAAGAAGTCCGTGTAAGCTAGGGCAGAGAAGACACACTCAGCCGAGCGCCCTGCTGCATCCTCAGAACCATCCCGCCGCTCCACCGGGCGGCACACAAGCAGGGCCGGGGCAGCCTACAATGCTCTGGCTTGTCCCCCACAGACAAGGTCAGTTTGCTCCAAGTGCTACTGTAGCAAATGACGTTTTCTGGTCCCGGCTCCTGCCAGCTAGGACAACTCCAAATTCTTTAGACTATTTTTTTCTCTTTGGTTTGAAACTATTATCACTATGGACACATTCCCAACTAGTTCTCACCTAAAACTACGAATGAAGATTAGCAGCACTCTGGAGGCACAGGCAGGTGCATGTCACTGAACTCGAGGCTAGCCTGGTCTACAAAGCAAGTTCCAGGGCAGCCAGAGTTACATGACTGACCGTGTCTGGAAAACCCTGAACAAACAATATCAAAACAGCGCGCACTGGACCACCTCAGACACGTGCCGCCACTGTCTATGCAGTAGAGCTGGGGAAGCCAGGCTTTCGGGGAACTGCTCAGCCTTACCCAAGGGGGAAAGGGCGGCAAGGCGTGTGAGCCACCCATAGGCTGCCTCCAGCAGCAAAGCAGGCGCCTTCTAAGTGACCAAAGGCAAGGGGCAGAGAAGTGGCTCTGAGGGCAGGAAAGGGGTGAGCAGCTTGTCGTCGGGGTTCTGAACCCTCATCTCACGGGGCAGACTATGGGGACTGCCCTCTCGGAGCCCCAGAGGCAGGCGCGTGGGGCCGTTCCTGTGGACCTGGCTGGAGCCCGGGAGTGTGCTCACCCACTGGAGGGTGGAGGGACGTGGGGCCGCCCTGCAGCTGCCCAGGCGAGGGAAGGGCTCTGCTGGGCCGGCCACACGAGGGTGAGCGAGGCAGGCTTCCGCAGAGCTGCCCTTCCAGGCCGCCCTCCCAGCTTCTTCCCACCAGGGCTCACTGCAGGGTGAGAGTGTGTGCGGAGCGGGAGAGTGCGGTGTGCTTCTGTGTGAGTAGGTCCAGGCTCGCGTGGAAGGTTGAACTCGGGTTGTGTGTGTGCGTGGTGCACTGAGGAAGGGCCTCACAGCCTCAGACCTGTGGCTCTCCTAGCTCTGGCTCATGTGTCACCACACCCACTTTTAACAGAACCCTTGGGGCACACACATCACACATGGTAAAATACACCCCAGAGGCTAGTCGTGGTCAGAAGTTAATTAAGATGGAGTTGTTGGTCTTGGGTGTTTTCGGTTGAGGCAGGGTCTTAAATATGTAGCCCAGGCTGGGTTGAAACTTACAGCTTTGTTCATTCAGCATCTTTTATTTTCCACAGGAACCTACAGTCTGTCTGGGGTGTTCCTCTGTGAGCTTGACACGTGGAACTCTCCTCACCCCTGGCTGTCAGCCTGTCTGCAAGGCCTCCAGCCTCACACCTCATGCGTGCGGACTGGTTCAGTGTCTGCTTAGGGCGGGCGCTCTGAGTCAGGGCTTTCCCACACGCGCAGGCCACCTTTCACGTTGCTGGCTTTATTAGGCTGGGCGTGGTGGCGCACCCCTTTAATCCCAGCACTCCGGAGGCAGAGGCCGGAGGATCTCTGGGAGTTTGAGGGCAGCCTGGTCTACAGAGGGATTTCTAGGCATCCAGAGCTATGTAGAAACCCTGATTTAAAAAAAAAAGTTTATTAATAAACATTTTTTTGATATATTTCTGGCTACTCGTATTTACTTTGTGAATAACTTGTTTATAGCTTCATTTTTTTCCTTTGGAAAAATTTTCATCTTCATACAGATAGAAAAGTCCTTGTTTATAGGCTATTATCAGTTAAAACTGTCTTTTCTCCCCATCTATCCTTTAAAAGTTTTTAATTCTTTACCAGAAATTTCTTCTTGACTTCATTTCAGGTTTAGTGGTGTTGGCAGAGGCAGAGAGGGATTCAGGTGCCTTGAAGCTGGTGCCATAGGCGTCCGTGGTTGCCAGCGTGGGTGCTGGGAGCTGGCCCCGGGTTCTCTGCAAGCCCTGTGCTTGGCCGCTTAGCCCCTCTGCAGCCCCCAAATCAACCCTTCCAATCTCACTAACATCTTCTCTTCTCTCCCTCCCTCTTTTTTTTTGGGACAGGTTGACCTAGAACTCACAGAGACCCAGCAGCCTCTGCGTCCCGAGTGCTGCATTAAAGGCGGGAGCCACCATGTTTGGCGAACATGCACTTTCATACAGGGCAGGGATATGAAAAAGTTTGCAGAGACGTTCACTTTCCGTGAGAGAGAGGCGAGGCCCTCCCAGCACCTCTCAGCACAGGCTCCCACCGAGCGCTGGAGACGCAGCTCAGTGGGAGAGCACTTGCCTAGCATGCACCAACGCCCTGGCCGGAACCTCGGCGCCACAGACAAGAAGAGGAGCTCCTGCCACCTCCCCCTACCACAGCCACACTTTCTGGACCAAGACCCATGGGTAACCAATGCTTCACTCTCTCAGGGACAGTGAACCCCCTTTCTGGCCAGTTATTTGCGCCTCTCTTTGAGGTCAGTCTGGCCTGATCACCTGGGTTCACCCCATGAGTCAGGAGGTCTCTGTGGTCAGAGGATGCCCTGGGTAGGCAAAGCTCAGGCAAGCCAGCACTGACAGGGGCCTGCTGCCCTCTAGGTGCCTTGGGGCCTGTGTTGCATCTCTGGACCTGTGCTGCATCTCTGGTAGTACACCCTGGGTTTGACCTCTGACTCACCCAAAAACAAAGCAAACAAACCTATTTTCCTTTGTAAGGCTTCCACTCCCGGATGGGAGCACTGCCATGGAATGGCTAAGTGACACCCCTGTGCCACAGCTCCATCTTTCTGCCAGCATTTGGGAGAATTCCAGGAGTCCTTCTACCCAGGACATCGTGGGCTGAGCACAGAGCCCTCACGGGTGCTTCCCTGAGCTCAGCTTTGGGTGACATCCTCCATAACCTCCCTCCTCTGGGACCAGCACCTCTCCTCCTGGCAGCACCCCACTTTCCCAGCTCCCTCCTCCAAGTGCACCGCTCTTCACCCCCACAGTCCCTCCCACACGTTCATTCAGGGACACTTACCACACCCTCAACATCTGCCCCTTGACCTCAACCCTGCATGGCTGTGCGTCCCCTTCACCTGACAGTCCTGTCCCAAACACGACTGCTCTAGGTCCATCAGAGAGCAGTATCCCTGAACCCAGCAGAATCTCCAGCCCCAGCGCTTGGGGCCTCCCCTCGCATCCTCCTCCATCTCTCTCGTTTTAGGGAATAGCTACATCTGGAACCCAAACTTCCAGTTGCATGGCCAAAATATGACAGTGCTGGCTGCCTCCATCCTTCGGCTTGAAGCAGGGCAACTCTGTCCAAAGCCAGCCGCTATCCTTGCCTGCTTTGTCAGGAATGCAATACTCTGGAACGCTCACTGTCACCAATTTTCTTTTCTTCCCAACACAGGGTTTCTCTGTGTAGGCCTGGAACTCACTCTGTAGACCAGGCTGGCCTTGAACAGATCAGCCTGTCTCTGCCTCCCTGAGTGCTGGGATTAAATGCATGAGCCACCACCATCTGGCAAACTGAGCTTTTCAAAACTCCAAACACAGACAAGTGCCTCCCAGCCTGCTGGCGCATGGGCCAGGAGGGTCTGCCGCTGCCTCCTGCCAGGGAAGCGACTGAAGAGTCACTCCTAGCGAGGAAGCAGCACAGTAACGACACAGAGAGGCAAGAGTGAAGACGTGTCGGGTGAGGAGGGTGAAAGGAAAAGGTTAGTTTTAGTTAAGGTCGTTTGTATGTGTAAACGAAGCTTCTTCTAAGGTACGATGACTGGATTTTTCCGAAGCAGAAAAGACAAGGGCAAAGCTAACAAGTGTGCGTGTGGAGGGCAGTCTGAGCCACCAGGTCTGCAGCAGACAAAGCCTGAAGAAGGTGAGCCTGTGTCGATCAGGGCACCACACCCCGGGTCAGCGCAGCGCACGACTCACAGCTAAGGCCCGGGCTCTGCCTCCCACAAGCACATGGGATGCGGCTCTGAACTCAGACGCTAACTGGAAGCTGGCTGCAGCTGACACACATTTTGCCATGATGATTATTTTCTGCCAAGTTTGTCAGGCTTTCTGTTACTCTGAAAACTGAGTTTTCATGAAATGAGGATTTTGCTCATTTGTTTAAGCCAGGTGTGGTAGCACACATCTTTAATCTTTAATCCCCTTACTCGTAAGGCCCAGGCAGGAAGATCTGCCTGTTCCAGGCCAGCCTGGTCTACGTGGAGAGACCCTGTCTCAGAAGACAACAACAGCACGATAATAACTATCAGTACAGAACAATACCTTACCACCGTCCCCAGGAGTCCCCTCTTCCTCCTCCAAGGGAGTCGGTGCTCCCCAAACCGGTAGGGTCATTGATCAGGTGCCTGGCTGCAGCCGCACTTAAGTACCAATAGCTGTAGACTTCAAGACATGATGGAGCCACCTCTCCAAGACACACGATATTTTCCAAAGCGTGCGAGAGGCGAGAGGCAAGGCGGCGGCATTAGAACCTCATCCAAGCGCAGGGCCGACACTCTCTTCCAAAGGGGTGTCAGCTAACACACGAGGCCAGAGAAATCCTGGGACGGCTCCTGGCTGGGGGAGGAGCGGAGCTAGCAAGGCTCCCACGCACCCTCATCTACGCTCGCCAGGCCAAGCCTTTCTGGAGCTGCCATAAAGATGTCCCAAGGTGCTCTGCTACCAGCCTGCCCTGCCAGCTCTATGCTCCAGCCTGTAACACACAGCCTTGGTTCCTCCCTCTGGGGTCTCGGGACCCCTCCCTCCTAGAGCCTGTGCAGTGTAGGAGAGCCCTGCCAGGGAAAGCGAAGACAGAGCTTCCCTCACACGCACCCTGCTCACGAGTTCTAGAAGGTGCGGGATGGTAAAAACAAAGGCCTCCAGAGGCATGCCTCAGGGGACATGCCAGTCCGAGTCTGACTTCCCTGGTCCTCAGCCAGTCGGCCCTGGCTGTCATTCGAGGGCCACGAGGAACAAGCACAGCCATCAGAACCCGGGATCACGTC